CAGTCCGTTCAGATATGAGGAAGGGGTCAGTCAGCATTCCTATGAACATATGACAAGCCAAACGGGCTGAGTGATTGGCAGGCTGGATATTTTATAGCACTCCCTGATGCAAGGTCTGGTATTCCATACACCAGAACCTAAAGACATCAAGTCCATGTTTACAGGGGCAAGTACATGCCAGGTCTTCCTGACACCAAGGACCTACCATAAGAACCAATAGGCTTTAATGTTTACAATGGGTTTCTTCAAAATAAAGAGCATGCCCCTGTTCCAGGATGGCAAATGGTGTGTGTACTTCATGTACACACTTATTCTCAAACTGCCCTTCCTTGAGAAAGCTGAGAATGAAGAACCTGCCTACATGTTCTTAATTATCGTATATTTTATTCAAAATTTAAAAATGTTTTCTTCATTGGGGAACCATTATTCCTCTCCTCTGTGATGTGGGAAATCTCTCTGTTCCAATTGCTGCTACTCTATAGGTCTCTTTCCATTCACCTTAGATGTTCAGCTTCCTTGGCCAAAAGCTCTTTCTGCATCCTCCTGTGGCAGAGTGGGCAGGCGAGGGGAGGAGTGGAGCGAGACTTGTGGACTTGGCAAAGCAGGCTGTGGCATGCAAGGAGGACCAAGAGCTATGCCCGCCCCCCAGCCTCCTCGCCCACTCCCAGTGATAGTCCAGGGACACAGAAATGGGATCAAAACAAACTACAACTTGAAAATTCTGCAGTAATGCAGTATTTTTTTGTAGTCAAATACAAGATAAGATCTCGACAGATTAAAAAAATAAGTTATTTTATACTGTACTTTAATATTCCAATGTCACTGGGCACAGAAGCTTCTTTCTTGACTTGGCTGTCTTGATCATTACTCTCATTTGCGTCTGCAATCTCAAGGGAGCCTAAGCTGTGCTCCCAAGTGTGTCTTTGGTGGGAAGCAGACCTAATTCACATTTCAGCTCGACTACTAACGACTACTAACTAGCTTTGCATAGACATTTGCAGCAAGTTACTTAATTTCCCAAGTTCTCAGTTGCATCATTGGCAGGAGAGGGAGAATCAGTCCTAATGTGACAATCTGAAGACTGAATATATAAATGTTTATATTTAGAAAGTGCCTAGTGCAGGGTCAGGCACACAAGTGGGAGTCTGACTTATGACAGCTTTCCCTTGCTATTATTTCCTTCTATGTTGGGATAAATGACCTGTTCAGTGAGCTGTTTCCTTCAAGCATTACAGAAGACTTTGGAGTAATGGTTTCCATAGGCAGATAGCTCATCAGTTAGGGTTCTAAGGTAGGTCTTGACCAGCTGTGGGCTAAAACCAAGACAGAGGACGAGGTGATTGTGGTGGCACACATTTTTAATTGGGAGGCAGAAGCAGGAGTATCTCTGTGAGTTCAAGTCCAGCCTGGCTGACATAGTGAGTTCCGGTGCAGCCACAGCTTAAGAACAAACATCGTCTCCAGCACCAAGGGTGAAGAAGCCCAAAGAGTGCCCCGACTGCACAGTTCCTCTTGGGATTTAAGAGTTTCCAAGCAACCGTTTATTATGACATTTCTTTTGCTTAAACCGAATACAGCCACAGCAAAAGCTTATTCAAGAGAAACTGCTCGGTGGCTTTAATTAGGACAGTAGAAGTTGCTTAGCTGGTGAAGCAGAATTTCTTGTGAGTCAGCCATCTCTTTCTCTGTAATTATGTGTCGCATTGTAAACGTCTTACTCTCTTACTTGAATTATGCCTGTGGTAAATATTGGGGAAACAAACAGGAACAGCGAGTGCCTAGGAAAACAGGTGGCATTTGAAGGCTCAGAGCTCATTTTCCCTAGAGGCTTTTCACTGACCAGCCTTGCTTAAGCCAGCCCCAGTCTGCTGAGAATGACATCAAGAAAATATGCAACAATAAGTCATTTTCCCTCCCTGCAGGGATGTGTTGATTTTAGCCACTTCGCTGAATCGAGCATGGGAAGAGGCAGGGGGTATGAAATGTAGGGGGGAACACACCTATGGGGTAAGCCCTAGAAAAATTGTGGGGGTCACTTTTGAATGCCAAAACATTACCTCTTTTTATGACTCACTCGCTTTTTAAAAAATTTCTGGGCTGAAGTCATTCATAGATAAAATATCAAAGGTCAAGAATTGGGTTCTTAACCTGCCCTGAACACATCTTCTACAAATGTAGAAATTTGACAAGCCTCAGAACAAGGAGGGCGTCCTTTTAAAGGGATTCAGAACAGGTGACTAAAGCAGTGTCTTCTCATGCCTATGGGTCCACAATGAAACTAGGAATTTTTTTAAAGTTATGTTCCTTTGGTAATAGCTTAGCAAGGGTTTTAATTAACCATGGTTCCATGAACAAGACTGAGAAGAGGTAAACACGACTTATTCTTTGTCTAATGACTAAAAGTGAAACATCTGGACTGATAATCCCATAAAATTATAATTTAACATATAGAACATATGTCAGCAAAGGAGCATAATAAAAGGAATATAGCAAGTGTATCAAGCAAGCATTATCAAGATACCAAAGAAAAAGGCTCTAGAAAAAAGCACCCAGCAATTAATTAGTCAACCCCCCATGAAATGGAAGTTCTACTTAGTAAGGTGAGCTCTCACAGGGAAACTGAGTCCTCTGCTCTGGCTTGCCATAGCAAAAACAACAGATGCCACTGCTTTTTTTTTTTTTTTTGTTCCAAATGGAACAGTTCCTGGAGTAGGAATTAGTGACAGTCGAGAGATAAATTAAGATCTGTTACAATATTGTTCCGACAACTTCACAGCATCTGGCAACGAGACTCCTCTTTTTCTGACACTTTCCATGGTTGCCTTGGTGTCACAGCGGTTGTCGCCAGAGCAGTGAGTGTTTTAACTCAAACAGAGCTTCTTCCTGGTGCACACAGCAGCTACACAGGCAAGCCTCGGATCCCTGAACACCTGCACAGCTCCGAATGTGTACCTGGAAGCCGACTGACAGGAAGGAGGAGGGAGACTCTGGAAGCTGGGGAAATGCACGCCTTGAGAGCTAACTCTAGACCATAGCAGGTCCCCAGGACCAGAAAACCCAAGCTCCCCAAGACTGCTGATTAACTTTCGTAATCATTTATGAGTTTGGCTTTAATTAACTCTACTCTGCTTGGTGCGATCATTTTGCAAGGCACGCATGAGCACGCGCGCGCACACACACACAACACACACAAACACGAATACACCATCATACTTTATATTAGCTCATTTCCTCATCTGTTTAATACGATATAGATGGGCTCTGGTATGACTGGCAAAATTGAGTTCATGTGGAAAAGATCAATCAGATTGATGGCAGCAATTCTTATATCAAGCACTATGTAATTCTCAGAATTGTAGCACTGGTCCTACAGCTGAAAAGGCATTTTGAGAACCTATAATGAACTGCACAGATTGAATTGTTTCATTAAATTAAGTTTAGCAGTGGGCACTTGCCTTACAAAGTAATACAAGTAATTGCCAAGCATTTTAAAGATGCTTTACTGGGCTTCTGTGGTTATATCTAAGCAGGGTTTAGACAGTGTGTGGCTTAAAACACTCAGTGACTCTTTAGTAGAGATAGTGTCTAATTTAGACGCACGTACAAGCAGATGCAGACAGACTTGACGAGAGTAAGACTGTGTGAGAGGGTACCTTATGCTCCCTTCCAATGGGTCATTTACAGTCATTTGCAATAGTCCAATGCAGTGATCACTTGCTCCTGTCACCTGGGACTGTTTGTCTAGCGGAAAATTCCTGGGATGTACTGAGTCAAAAGCCACATTTAACTAAGCAGCCTAGATGATCCCATGTGAATCAAAGATCCAGACCCAGGTTTTATTAAAACACAGAGAAATACATATGCATATTCTTTGACTCAGATGGAGACAGGCGGAGATGTAAATGTTCATCCCCAGAAAAACCTACCATCTTACAGCCAGGGGCAATAAGAGGGTAGTGATGAACTGCTCTGTCCAAAATGTGGACACTACCTCACAGCAAGCACTTGGCTCAGCAGACGCTCACTAAGCTCTAGCACAGGCTTCAGGGCTTCAAAGAAGGATCAAGTCCTTGTCTACACCTCAAGGCATGCACCCCACCCCCATCCTTAACTCCTGAATAAATAACTCCAGCCGGAAGTAGATCACTGTGGCTCTGAGAGTTAGACATAAGTACCTCTGGCCATTTCCCTCAATATCACACAAGACACACTGAAATTATTATAATGCATACATATGCAATTTAAAACATAATGCTATGAGTTTTATAACAACTTCACAGTTTTCTTGAAAGAGGGAAACACATCTGGGAAAAAGTAGAGCCTCTTCTACTTCCTCTACAAACAGCTGCCGGCCTTGGGCTATACTCTGCTCAGGGTTGAATCGCTTTACTTACATATTTATTTGACATGAAATCTCACTGTTTGGCTCAGACTGATCTTGATCTAAGCAATTCTGCTTTTACCTTGCCAGTGGCTTGGCGCGTGTTATCACAGCCACATTCAGTTAAGGATTTAAGGATCTTGGTCAAATGTTAGGGCCGATAGTTGAGAGTTTCCGAGAATGGATCTCCACTGTTGTTTAACGGTAGATGAAGCGCCTTTCTGTTTTGTTTTTGAGGCAGGGTCTCATGCACGTCCGGCTGGCCTTACACTGTATAATGGGTCTCCTGTCTCTACCTCCCCAGTGCTAGGATTCTGGGAGTGCAAACCAACCTGGCTAAGTCATGTGCATCCACAGGAAAACATTGCCATGCAACATCAAGCATACATGACCACAACCTCTTGCAAGACAACGAGAGTGCTTCTGCACAATGCAGGCGTCATCACTTCAATTACCTGGTTTCAGGAGATGACGAGCTTTCATTCATGTCGGTCCTTTTACTTCTTGGAAATGACGGACTAGATGGAGGCATCTCACCACTCAGGCGGTCTGGGAAAATGCGCTCTTTATTCAAGTTGATTTCTGAATAGGGGCAGTAGGCGCCACTAGAAGAGAAAAGTGCATTCCCGTTAGATCATAATTATACAATTAAAACTGTGGGCTAGTGAAAAGATGCCAAAATTGATCCAAGTATGTTACATACGCACGTGTGTAAATGTATGACTAGATAGGCAGCCATAAACTATATCTTTACAGATAATTTAAGTTTATTCCACAGGTCAACATACCAGCACTACAAGAATTCTGCTGCAATCTCTGAGCTGAGCAACAGTCAGAGGATTCCACTGGTACTTTTTATAGGTAAAGCCTATGCATATCTCTGGGGATAATCAGCAACAAGAAATACCCACACTTGGGACAGTCATAGCGGTTTAATTTCCCCTATACCACTTAGTAAATTTCAATGTTTCCCCGGGGAACACTACAATCTCTGGGACTATAGTTACAGCTGATTTCCTAGAGAACACACAAATGCTTTGGAGCTAATTCTTTCTATCCCTGGTATGAAAGGGAGCCACAGGCCAACCTTTCCTAACTGCCCTTAGATGTTATACTCTGAGGTCCCATATGGTGATGACTTCTGTTACCTAGGCAGAGGAAATTGAGGTCACTGAGTGCTAACTTGGCATTAGCTAGCAGATGCCTGGCCTGGGCCTTAGCATTCCAGTCTCTAGAACATCTGGGTACCAGGCTTCCAATATACACTAAGCTCTCCAGCTGACTGTGCATCTTGTCCCTCTTAAGTCAGGAAATCATTTGGACATTAGATACAGTATACTGTTGTCTTGCGTGCTCTTCTCTCTCTATCATAGTGAGAATATTAACAATAACCCAAGGGAACCTTTTTAAACAATGCGTCTATTTTCTATCAAGAGAAGCCAAGACACTCTCCCGGGAAAAGAATCTGAAATGCTCCCTGGTAACTCTAGAAGAGACATAAAATTCATCTCAGATATCTTGTGAGCAAAAGCGCAAGCTTTAGTAAGTACATACTGCTCTTCACTGGTACTTTAAGCAAAAGCAACAACACTTAATCACATGCTGATATAAATTTATATAACGCCTATCCAACAACAACCAAGAAAACCAAAACACAATTGACAGAAATCTTTATGGATCACATTGAGCACTGTGCTGTGCTGTGCTGATACACATTGTCTTAATCTATTCAACACCTTATAGAAAAGACCTCTCATATGAAACGCTAGGCTTTGAAATGGTTAAGCAACTCCAGTCCTTAATTTTCTGATTATCAGCAAGTATTTATCAATTGAGTATCTACTGCGTTAACCACCTTTCTAGGCATTGGGAACCTAATAAAAAGAGAGGAGGTGAAAATTCTGGCCTCAGAGAGTAGTAGTCTATGGCAGTGGTTCTCAACCTTCCTAATGTCGTGACCCTTTAATACAATTCATGCTATGGTAACCCCCATATCATAAAATTATTTTCGCTGCTACTTCATAACTGTAACTTTGGTACTGTCATGAACCAGAATGTAAATATCTCTGTTCCAATGGTCTTAGGCAACCCCTGCGAAAGGGTCATTTGACTCCCTTACAGAGCTGTGGTCCACAGGTTGAGAACTGCTGATCTAGGGCAAGATGGGCAATGCCTAATCACACAAAGAAATTCTGTAACTTTACATGGGAATGGCTTCTATAAAGAAAGCGAAAGAGGACAGCATTAGTGAGGACCTGAGGATGCTCTGATGGGCAGTGAGGAAGGGCTTCTCTAGAGAACAAATTCCTAAAGGTCAGGACAGAATTGCTCATGTCTGCTTTCCACACTCCGAAGAAGGAAATGCAACACATGGGAGGGAGAGAAGTCGAGATGACAGAAAGCAGGAGATGCAGGGAGAGGTAGCGTCAGGCATGGCTCACTAGACCATAGTCAGGAGATGCAGGGAGAGGTAGTGTCAGGCACGGCTCACTAGACCATAGTCAGATGCAGGGAGAGGTAGTGTCAGGCACAGCTCACTAGACCGTAGTCAGGAGATGCAGGGAGAGGTAGCGTCAGGCACAGCTCACTAGTCCGTAGTCAGGAGATGCAGGGAGAGGTAGCGTCAGGCACAGCTCACTAGACCGTAGTCAGATGCAGGGAGAGGTAGTGTCAGGCACAGCTCACTAGACCGTAGTCAGGAGATGCAGGGAGAGGTAGTGTCAGGCACAGCTCACTATAGACCATAGTCAGGAGATGCAGAGAGCGATAATATCATGGAGGTCTCACTAGACCATAGTCAGCAGGTTCAAGTTTAATTTTGGGTTCAAAATTNTGCTATGGTAACCCCCATATCATAAAATTATTTTCGCTGCTACTTCATAACTGTAACTTTGGTACTGTCATGAACCATAATGTAAATATCTCTGTTCCGATGGTCTTAGGCAACCCCTGCGAAAGGGTCATTTGACTCCCTTACAGGGCTGTGGCCCACAGGTTGAGAACTGCTGATCTAGGGCAAGATGGGCAATGCCTAATCACACAAAGAAATTCTGTAACTTTACATGGGAATGGCTTCTACAAAGAAAGCGAAAGAGGACAGCATTAGCGAGGACCTGAGGATGCTCTGATGGGCAGTGAGGAAGGGCTTCTCTAGAGAACAAATTCCTAAAGGTCAGGACAGAATTGCTCATGTCTGCTTCCCACACTCCGAAGAAGGCAATGCAACACATGGGAGGGAGAGAAGTCGAGATGACAGAAAGCAGGAGATGCCGGGAGAGGTAGTGTCAGGCACGGCTCACTAGACCATAGTCAGGAGATGCAGAGAGTGATAATATCATGGAGGTCTCACTAGACCATAGTCAGCAGGTTCAAGTTTAATTTTGGGTTCAAAATTGAAGGCCCCAGGAAATCTCAAAACACAGGAAGTGATAGGGATCACCTTGGGTGTGTGGGATGGAAATGCAAGGAAGGTTAGAGGACTGTAGACCTCTCCTGCCATCCCATGATGCCCTGCAGACCGAGAGACAGCCTGTGATCTGCAGGGATCCAGAATGGATTGCTGGTTTGTGCTTTGAAGAACTTGAGGCAAAAGAGACACAATGTTTTTCTTTATTTCTCTCTGGGATAAGAATGACTAGTGGGAAGTAAATGTGGAGCAAACCAATAATTATGGAAAGTTTATTATTAGACATTTAAATAAAAATGCTGATTGCCGGAGGTCACACAGCAATAAAATAGCTCAGCAAGATGAGTCTACTCATTTAATAACTGGCATACTACTTCAGTCAGTCACACTATCAAGGAAAATCTAACTGCATCAGCCATTCAGACACTACATAGGATCCTGTTTGGAATGCCCAAACTCATCAAGAGTTCACAGGCACAAATTACTAAACTAGTTCTGCCTAACATGAACAGAGACCTTGTAGCTTAATTGGAAGGCAGACAACCAGTGTAGGCAGCATGCAGGACCCAGAACAACAATATTGCCATAGAGAATCTCTGCATGGGATGGGGTTGCTGGGGCAGCATATGCAGGCCACTACAAGCACAAAGCCTGGCAAGCCTGCGCTCTGGAGGAGGATCCTCAAGACAGAAAGCCCAGAGCGCAGCACGGTATGTTTGGGTCAGCTGCTCTGTAACTAAGAAAACAATCCGGCTGTGCTGCCATGTGGCCCCCTTAAGGCACAACACTTAATGCTGAGCTTTATCTCGGGCAGGGTCCAAGTGTCTACTGAAGTCCTCCTCAGATGTCTGAGGGTTTCCTCCCATCGTACCATCTTCAATGAACCTTCTTAAAACCACCCAAAGTTACATATAATCAGCTCCTCCCAAGCGCTTGAGTCTCTGCTCTGACAAAGGAGTTAAGTTAAGTTGGTCCGGCTTCAGTCATCTCGGATGCCAATGTACACCATTCTCTCCAGTGCATGTTTTATTGAGTTTATGTATTTCAATATTGAGGCAATAAAAGAAAAACCCAAACGTGGTGTTTTGTCTTCTTTTGACAGACAGTATAGTGCTAACCCAGCAGCAGCGTACATGTACAGTTAGACCTCACTCATCCTTAAGCTCCGGGCTCAACAAGCAGTGAACGACGGTGTGTGTATTTACTTTGGATGGCATCAGGGTGGAAGAGCACACACCACCAGCTTCAAACAATGGGAAGTCAGGCAGGAATTTTAGATGGCCTAGGTCCCCAGCGAAACACCAGTTACAGAGTAGACAACTGGGTTCAAACTTTATGAAAACAGCCCTTTGCTTTTGTTGTTGACTAAAAGAAGAACTTGGGGATTAGTTCAGAGACAGGTAAGATGCTGCTTCGGAGCCTTGCTGTCTAAATGCCTGTTTTACTTTTCGTTTTTTCTTTTGAAAACAGATTGTCCTAGCTCTTTCGACCTTGCAATCGAAAGAGAAACAAGCCTGCCTTCTGAAGAATTGCCCTAATGAGCTAGATCTGCCCTACCAAGGGAGCCATGAGACGGCCAGCCACAGATGTACACTAAGCCTCTCCCTTCCTTCAAGTCCTGAGGAACACCCGTTCTTACACCTGCACAGGGTGGAAAGGAATGCCAGCTGGAGATGACTGAGGGGAATGCGACAAGACACAGCAAAGTGCCACAGCCACGGCAGAATGAGAAATGCTTCCGGCAGAACCCGGGTGCCTGGCAGAGGGCTCTGTGGCCTCACCCGAGCACGGTGAAGAGCCAGCACAGTGCCTGAGGCTGAGTTTTCATTTCAAAATCATGATGCCACCAAAAGTGGGCAGGCCTGACCCAGGCGAACAAACTCCTCACCTGACATTTATCCTCACCACCATGGAAGCAGCTCCAAGAGGGAGCTCATGTGACAGATACAAAAAAAAAAAAAAAAAAAAAAAAGAGGCTTCAAAGGGGACCTGTAGAGTGTCACATGGTTCTTGGTGGAGTCTGACTAGCTCTTGTTTAGTTGCTACACGATATGAGTAACTATTAGCCTGTATTATGGAAGGACTTCTTTATTTCTAGTCTGAGACGATGACATTGATCTGAAAGATTCACCAAAGAGCTGCGTCTGCCCACCTCTTATGCTGTGCACAGTTCTATGTGTTGCAACTTTCTCTGTGCTAGGCAGGGCTCCAGGTCCTTCACATGAATTAATTCTTTCATCACACCACTCCTAGGAAGGCCATCATCACCCGTGTCACAAATGAAGACATTGGTGGAGAAAAGGGCAATACTGTTTCAAGATCCCAGCGCTTGCCGACTGCCTTTCAAGGAGGCAAGCCAAGCTACAGACAGGCGTTTTCCCCTATCTTGTCTCCCATTATCTACCCCTTGGGGTATGAATTACAGTAAAACTCATAATTAACTATGCTTTCAAGGACTTAAGATCACTACTAGGCCTGTTGTTTGAAGGAACGAAAGAGATGCAAGAATTGCCTCACTGTCCTTATCATACATCAAAAGTATATGCTCTACTATGTTCATAGCAGCATTGTTTGTAATAGCCAGAACCTGGAAACAACCTAGATGCCCTTCAAATGAAGAATGGATGAAGAAAGTATGGAATATATACATATTAGAGTACTACTCAGCAGTAAAAAA